ACACACACACACACACACACACACCCCCACACCCTCCGGGTGTGAGTTGTATGGATTTTTTTCAAAACTTATGGATTTTTGAGGCTCTTTATACAGGTAAACGTCCGAAGAGGTTGACATGTATGCTTGGGGCATTAGGGAAGGGTGTCAGCTGTGTTGGGGGCTTGGACCCCTGCCGTAACTGCTTGCAGTTCTTCAGTTATTCTATACTACTGAATAATAGTAAGGTATTTTAATAGCTTTATATCATATAAACTGTTTCAGAACAGTATCTAATGAAGTTAAATCAGTTTGACTGATCTTTCACTTTTAAGCTCTGAGTATTTTCTGCTCAGGTATGTATCAGACCATGGTCCTGGGGAGTATCGGTCACTGTGCCAACACAAACTGCTGACATCTCTGCAGCTGCCAACTTTTACTGCCCGTCTCTTCCCACCCACCCAGCTAGAGTGGACCTCCAACCAGAGGAAGGGCACCATGCTGCTGGAAGTAAACACTTTTAATGGTGAGGCAGGCAGCAACTATTCTAAACCTGTCAGGTTAATAATATTTTAAGGATCACCTGCTGCCCAAGGTGAAGGCGTTTAGGTTTTTGTTTATGTTTGTGCTTAGTTCTCTGAAGTGTTAGCAAAATGTTTCAGAAATCACTGGATGGATTTTAGTGGAACTCTCAGCAACTAATCATTTTTTACTAATCTGATTTAAAATTGCAGCCAGACCTAAGAAAACTGTGCAAACAAAAAAGAAGACATTTTATAGAAATTAAGCTTAAATTTGGTCTGCTAGTAACTGAGGATCATTCACGCCACATAATCTGAGTGCTGCACAAGATTTCCGTTTTAAACATTGCCAAAAACATTTGAAGTCAGCACTGTCTGTTAGCAGACTCATGACTCACTGAATAAATTTTAATGAAACTCTTAGAAAGTAATTATTGTATGTCTGCAATTCATTAACTTTTTGAGTCCATCCAATTCAAGATGGCCACCACAGCTAACTGACATAATTAGCCAATACAAAAGTGGCTATAACTTCATCAGATTTACAGATATTGAGCTAAGAGTGGATGTGGCAGTAACTGAGAACTAGCACAACCCTAACTTTGAACCCATCACCAGATTTTGCATGAGATTGTGCACAAGGTTAATTTAAGGTTTGACCAAGATGGATAAACTCTATCCCTTTTTTTTTTTCAAAGTTTCTTAAAATGAGCATGTTATATTTTCTACCAGATGAGACGCTGACGAGTGAGGTGGAGTCATGGACCACAGCGGAGCAGCTGGCCTCCTGGCTCCTTCAGTACAGGTATGAATTCAGTCCTAAAAACTGTGTTTACCTCTCTTTATCTTTAGTCTTCACCTTCTCCCTCCTCTGTGTGCTGTGGTTCCAGAGGTGTTACAGAAGCTGTGCAGGGCTGGTCTGTGGCTCTTGTGAGTGATGAAGGCTGGTCAGAAATATGTGGCTCAGACTTTGCCATGGATCTGCTGGCTGAAGCAGAAGCTGAAGTGCTGCCACCTCCAGGAACACCCTCTTCTACAAACTCTGACTACCTGTTCAGCAGGCTTTCAGATAGGTAGAGAAGTGATTAGTAAAGTCACCAGACTGTTGAAAGAATTGGCTTCCAGTGTTGTCAGCTCTGTGATTTTGTTTTTCAAGGATACCGTCCACAGATCTGGATGACTTCATCCCACCTGCACCTTCCATGCAAGCTCCTGGGCTGCCTGGTTCTGATGGAAACCTCTGGAGAAGAGATTATCCACAGGAAGGTAAGAGTTAAAGATTAGATTAATAATATTCATCATCATAATAATATTATGATGATTATTAAATAAAATTACATAGTACCTTTCTCTCAGGATTATAAAATACCCACAATAACACACAGTCCTGTCACAATATAAGCAGAGTCCATGAAAACCTTTACCTGTTTAGAACATTTAAAGACATTTTAAAATGTTCAAATCTGATCAGATGGTATATTTATATTTAAATACATAGTTCTGTGGATCATAATAGAAATTCTGTGTTGATCATCAGAATTTGTCTTTGATTGGTTTTTTTATTTACATTAAATGCAATTTTTGGTGACATGTTTGTGTAATAGACCACCCTATGAAATTAGGACCAGCCCAATCTCACAAAATAATCCCTCAAGATCTTTGCATTATGAAATCCCAGACAATGACAAAATATCCACCCTGATCATGAATGAGAAATGAAAACTTGTGACCTGAACGTATTTCCAAAATAAAGTAATTTATTTTTAGATATATGAACAGGATTAAACACACAAAGATTTATTAAAAATATTATATGAATAAATGAACACAAGTTATATTTCCGACATATGAATTCCACCTCAGAGTTGTCATAAACAGTAAGTTCCAGGTGTTGTAACTTACTGGCACGCTGCTTAACTAAGTTTTAAGTAAAAAGAGAATAAAGATAGTAAAGATTTATAGCTTTAAGGATAGGAGGAAAAGARATTAGTGAATTTAGCACTTGTTCTCCACAAGTCAAGACCAGACCAGCACCAACATTATGTCAGAGACGAGACACTTCCGAAGCTAGACTTCACTTCGACGTTTTATCTCAGCAAACGTTTTTTTACCTTTAGATGTCTTCAGACAGAGCCGAACCGGCAGGCAGGTAGAAGGGTTTGAGAGTGTCAGCATCACGAAGTCCGCAGGATGGATAATGTCTGTCATGACAGCAGGGGGTTGAGAAGAACCTTGTCTCACCCCTGGCGAGCCCAGTGGCTCCCGGTGCGGGTCTCAGTCGCTTCTCGGCAGTAAAATTAGGTTAGTAACATCAGACTCCCATTCAACCAGGTGCCCAGACGGACACGCACTCCGCAGAGAGACCAAGTCAGAACCATGCTTACTCCGACGAACAGACAAGAACAACCGGTCAACGGTGTGAACAGAAATTTAGTTCTTTGAGAGAAAAAAGAGCGAGAAGAAAACAATCTGTTTTTCTCACACTGGCGCGGCCAGCTGTGTTGTTGTTATCAGCAAAAGACCTTGAAAGTCTGAATAGACAGACTAAACTGTCGTCTTAAAAATCACTTCACTAAGGTTATAAATCACATCCACCACTTTGCACAAATGGATTAATAGTAAAATTAATAGTACACAATAATTAATCATTAAACCAATTAAGAAAAATGATAAAACCATGATTAATAAACCAGTACTAAGAAAAAACAGTAAAACACATTTCAACTCTTTTTTCTTCACAGTGTTAAACTCTGGAATAAAGAGAGATGCATAGATTAATTCAATAAAACTTTGAGTAATGATATATTGATTATAACCTCTAATAGAAGATTAAATGAAGAAAACATATAGAACATATTGTCCTATTCACTTAAAGAAAATAGAAACAAACTTTAATATGACTTTCTTCTTATAAGTGTAAAAGCAAAATCAAAAACAAAAAAATAAGAAATGTTTATTTCACCAGGGTTACCCCTACATTTGAATAAATCATTTTCTAGTAAACTATTAAAATTTTAAATAAAGGAGGTTGAGGGTGATACTGAGAAATGGCACAGAGCAGTGTTTTTCAACCCTGGTCCACAAAGCACACTGTCCTGCATGTTTTCGATGTTTCCCTGCTCCAACATATCTGATTTCAATTGATAAATGATTAACAGGCTTTTGTTGAACTCCAGTTATCTGAATCAGGTGTGTTAAAGCACACACCTACACCTGCTACAGAACGTAGTGGGTTTAAACAGCTCTCTCCTTTTTCTCYATACAATATTGACGTCAGTTTTGTAACGTTATTTACGATTAGCGCTACTCAATTCTAAATTTGGAAACCGCAAATCGTCATTTGTAGAAATTAGTAAAACCTCTAAAGCGCAAAGGAGAAATTTAGGTCTGCAATTAGTGCTTTTGCGCTTTAGGGGACAAGTGCCCACCACTGCTTTTGGTTTGATCTGTGTGAATAAAAACTCAAAATAAAACCATTTTATTTCCCTCTCTGTGTTTCTGCTGATCTGCAGGACGTGGGCGGCAGATAGATGCCTACGTTGATGACTTGTTTGACCCTGTTCTGGACCAAGGACCACCGGTCAGTACCTTTGAAATTTTGATGAATAAAGTGGCTTCTGCTGGTTTTATTCTAGGCTGAACATGGTACACTCTGGTCCCAAATGAATTGTGTCTCTCTGCATCTAGTTACTAAGTTCATGGAGTCACTAAAAACTTTAGTGCCTTTCTAGAAACTGACTGCTCAGCACCTCACTTGGTAACTTGTTGTGTGTCTGTTTGTGTGTGTGTAGGACACAGAAAGAGTAGCCATGCTAAACCGGAGGATGAGAGGAGGTGGTGGGGTTGGACCGATGCACGCTGGCATGTATGGAGCTGGTAAGAAATAACCTTATTTGTAACAAATTCATGCACTTTATTACAGTAATAACAGCTTGGCCTTCTTCAATGGGTGGCCTAGATTTTAAGCTGCTTCTACTCATTTTTTCAGATAATATATTTAATATAGTACATTCAACAAGTTCAAGCTTTTTAAAGCAGACATTTGTAGTAGAAAAACTACAGAAGAGCCTATTTTTAAACACATCACATCTCTGCAAACTGTAGCAATACAATTTACGAGTAAATGGAAACTTTGGATCTTTGACAGAAATTTTTTAGATCTTTTGCGTCTGGGAAATGATGTGTCTTAAAGAAAGTGAAGATTAGATCTTGTGTTTTTCAGGTATGCCTATGACGATGCCAACCTATCCTTTAGGTAAGTGATCTGGACCTGGTTAGTCTTAACAGAAGCACATTATGCTGTTTAATTAAATACTGACAACGTTTTAACATTAAACATGACCCAGTCTAAATACTTAAAAGAGATGCAACAGCTCCTCTATATTCCTATATTTATTTAAGGTTTTACTGAGCAGCTTGACTCTGCTTCACGCTCATCTTCCTTTGTGTTTTTCTTCTTTGAACATTAGGCTCTCGTTGCCTTTGTCCTGTTATTTGTGTTTATATACAAGAAGTTTTAATCAAGTATTGTTAAAATATTGGACCAAGAAAAACAAATAGCAAAAATTATGAAAAAAAACTTGAATGCATTCAAAATATTTTTTGAATGTGACAGGAAATTAGTTTTATCATCTTCATGTTTTCATTATTGTGTGTAGGAGTACCAGTTAACCCTGCAATGCCCAGTTACGGGGCAGCTTCCATGATGCCAACCATGCCAGGTAAGCCCCCTCCCACAAAAACTTTAAGTTCTTGTTACAGTCCTGAACATTCTGTTTCCTAACTCTCACCTCCATTCAATATCTGCACAATTACCTATAGTCATGTAGGAAAAAGTCCACCTTTTGCCATTTCTATGGTTTTATTCTGTGTATTAGGATATAATAAAATATTCAGGTTTTTTTTACCACAACCGATTCCACAGTTTCATTTTTTTATTAAACAAATGGAAAATGTTCCAATTGTCTCCATGAAAAGACAACAGCAGTGTCTTCAAAGAAAAAAAACTGCTGCGGTCCAATAATCTGAAAATGTTAAATAAAGGTCATGTCCAAATTACATGAAGTCCATCATTCTACTGAGAGGAAGATGTTTTTATAAGTGGAAAACACTGAAGACAGCTGCCAGTCCTTCCAGGAGTAGAGGTCAGACTGTGCAATGCTCAGAGAAATGAGCTCCATCTGAAAGTCCTCTGGCCTCAGTCAGTCAGTCAAAGTTTATGACAAGACAGTTAAAAACTGAACAAGTATGGCTTATTTAGGAGGTTGCATGATGAATTCTCCATCCTCTAAAAGGACACATGACAGCAGGACTTAGCAGTAAAGTTTTTTTTAAATGAACCAGAAGACTTCTGGAACAGGATCCTTTGAACACATCAGACCCTAAAACTGGAAAAAGGTGGATTTTTGTTTTCTCATGACTGCATGTGTTTTATTTGCTAAATGTGATTTTCTGTCATAGTTTAATTAGTTCTGTTACTTTAAAGGCTCCCACATACTCAGGCTTAATGTGTGCGGTCCGTGAGCCGTGCGGACTTCGCGCATATTGTCCGCGGATGTTTGAGACTTCATACTCGAGCGTACGGACCACCGGACAAAGTCCTTAATTTCTCGCAATTTCAGTCATGATGTCAAGGACAAGGAGGAAGAGATAGTTTACATTTTAGCTTTAACACAATAAAAGAAAAAAGAAAAGAACTACCTTACCCTCTTGAGGCCCAAGCCCCCGCCGGCGGGGGCAAAATCGTATTTTTTTTTTTTACTTTCTTTATTAACCAACGTTCTCATAGGAAAACATAGACATGTGTGGTATCTATAGAAACGTCAGAATCTTGGCTAAAAACTCATATAAACCATTTCTACGTCCACCAGACACAGATAAAACAACAAGCAGTTGAATCTGTATGTAAACAAACTGCACAAAATGGCGTCTCGGCAAAACCCGGCCTCAGCTGTTCACCAGTGACTTCTTCACACACAAAACAACATGTCTGCTGAAAGCAGAGACCTGACAGATTCTAAAAATATAAGTTTCATCACAATCCAACCAGAATTCACTCAACTAGCAGCATAAAAACAGAAGACCTAGCACTCGGATTTGAAAATGATAAAAAGTTTTACATGTAAAGCTCAGCGTCAATCACCGGACTTCCGGTTGTGTCTACGTGCCGTTTAAAAAATAAAATAAAATATAAAATGTGCCRTTTTTGCTAGTTAGCTTACTTATTTATTAAGTTTTTTAAAGTTTTGTAAATAAAAGCTTTAAAAAACTCTACTTTTTTAGGTGGTGCCAAAATGTGACAATTTGTGCCACAAGAAAAAAACGCTTAAATATTTTAAACTAAAACCTCTGTAACTTTGTTGTAGTTTACTTCGGCAGCATGAGGTTTTGCACAGGTAATGTCCATAACTGGACTCATGGTTTCTAAAAGTTTTTAGCCTTATTCATTATACCTTTGAAAAGGTTATATACTGTATAATGCAGAGAAACCTCAGGCGAGGGGAAAAAAGCTTTTTTTCTATGTTCCATCCTCAGTATCTCTGAAACAAAAGCATTTGATGTGATACTTACACTCCTGATGAAATCTCCCAAGTGTTAGCTGTATTTTGATATCAAGGGCATATAAATATTGTGTTTTTAGGTGCTGAGATACACCCAGTTACATTTGCGCATGCTTTTTCGAGCACAAACGTCAAGAAAACCCCTTGGGGTTTAAGAGGTTTTAACCAGGATCTGAGCAATTTCCTCCCACAAATTTGTTGCTCGCTGAAAGTCTTTATATTCCTTCGACGTTTTCTAATCTCCTCCATGAGACGCTCTTCAAGATTTGACTCCATTTCTCTACAAATGACACAGATTCTCAACTTCATCAGCTTGGTGTTGCACCTAGAACAGTACGTCATTGTGCACAATGCGGACGTAAAAAATTTATCTCTGCACAGACCAGTCTGGCGGACGTCCGCTTCGAGTCCACACTGAGTCCGCGTGGACCTCCGTGGACCAAAGTACACCCTAGTATGTGGGGGCCTTAAGTGTTTAACCCAGTAGTGCCTGTAACATCTGTTCCTCCACAGGCATGATGATGCCTCCGGCCCCTGCTGTCAATGATCCCATGCAGATGGCAGCAACTCAGCAGGCTCTCATTAACCAGCAAGCCTTACTCATGGTCCGAGTTATAACAGTCTTGTTTTTTCTTGTATTTGCTTTTCTTTCCTTTGTCTAAGTTTGCGTTCTCACTCATCACCTCAGGCCCAGCAGATGACCATGCAGGCGATGAATCTGTCTCAACAGCAGACCAAAGAGCAGCAGAAAAAGCAGCAGAAGAAGAAGAAGGAGGAGGAGGAGGAGGAGGAGGAGGAGGAGCAAAGCAGGGAGGAAGAGCGTCAGAGGAGACGTCGATCAACACGACGCTCTGTGGAACGTCGGCGATCACGTTCTCCTAAGACTACGTCACCTCCAGCTGTAAAGTCCAAAGCACCTGCTCCGAAGGAAAAGTCCAAGCAGGATGAGTCTGAGGTAAATCTGCTGTCTTTTTAAAGCTCTGCCATTAGAAACGTGTAGGAGGCTCTGAATGCCCACACATTAAATATCAAAACAAGTGTCCTCCTGTAAGAAGCCTGAATGTATGTGGGGTGAAGTAACACCAACTACTATGATTGGATTGACCTCCACACATAGACGGGGTTCTGGAACCCAATCTGGAAAAAGGCAGGACTTGTTCCTACTCTGGAATTGGAGCAAAATAAGGTTTTATTGTTGAGCAAAATAAACTCCACCTCAAAATTCATCAAAGTATATCAAATATTTCCTCTGGACACATAGAAGTACAAAGGTGTATGCATGTTTGCCGGTTCCAACCCACTGTGCCGTTGTGTCCTTGGGCAAGACACTTCACCTGATTTGGTGGTGGTCAGGTGGTGCTGGTGTATGGCAGCCTCACCTCTGTCAGTGCGCCCCAGGGCAGCTGTGGCTACAGTGTAGCTTACCACCATCAGTGTGTGAATGAGTGCATGACTTTAAGTTCAAATTCAAGTTTATTTATAAAGTCCCATCATACGTTGTCTCAGGGAACTGTACATAAAAGCAACAATGTAAAGAAGAAACCATCAGATTGTGTTGAATCACTTCATCACAGTCTCCCATCCTGAGCAAACGGTGGAGAGGAAAAACTCCCTGCTAATCAGGAAGAAACCTCCAGCAGAACCAGGCTCAGGACAGGAGACCATCTGCCTCGACCGGCTGGTTGGAGGACAGGAAAGAGACAATAGTGTAGAGACTGTAGTGTTGTTAAAGAAGAACTTACCCCAAAATTAACTTGTTTTAGCTGATAAACTGTCTAGAATGTGTCTAAAAGGTTATATAGTACTGTTTCTGTGCTAATTTTGATGTTTTTGTGAGTATTTGTTCAAATCTGTAATATTTGGTCTAAAAATGACTTTTTGCTGCTCATATGGGTAGAGCAGTGGTTCTGCAGGCTAATTTACATATTGTTTAACGGCTCTCCACGATGACGTGTCTTCTCCACAGTTTTGTCACAGCGGCCGTGTTCTGATATAAAAACCTCTCTATAAGACACGTCCCTGCAGCAGTCAGGGGGTGGAACAGGTAGCATAGCATGATCATCTGTTACAGCTTCATATTAGCATGTTAGCGGCTAACATCACTTGAACACAATCACACACACAGACACACAATGCCTCAGCAACACAAGGCTTCATGTATCACTGAATCAACCTTTGAACCAGCAGCTGGATCTGATAAGACTTTAGCTCCACTGAACTCCACAGCCTGATTCTCCTTCAGCCTCGGGTGAGGAGAGGAGGAGGAGGCTGACTGTGCTGCGCTGCTCTCTGTGTTTTAATGGAGAACCAACAGGTTCTCACTGGACATCTTCCTCTTATCAGTCATAAAACAAACTGAGTTAAAGGGGCAATATCCTGTAAAATCAACTTTTTTGAGTTTTATATCATGTTTTAATGTTATACTCTCATAAAAAAACATGCCCAAAGCCTTGCTCTGACTCATTCATCATGTTTGAGAAATCCTGCAGCGTTTTTAGGAAGTCATGCTGAGGAGCAAAACGACAGGTGGGGACCAGAAACGCCCCTGGGACGTGTCTTTAAGCTTCCTCATGTCAGAG